CCGCCACTTTATCCCTGGGCTGGCTCGCGGTGGGGGCGGCCCGCGGTGGGTGGGGACGCGGAGACTGACAGGCGGCGCGCGGGGAGGCGGCGCCCAGGGCCCACGTGTGCCTGGCCTGCGGGGAAGAGCGGGGGCGCATTCGTGGACTCGGCCACGCGCTCCTCGCGCCTGCCTCGGGGGCTTCCCCGCTCCAAGGTAGCTGCCGGGAGACTGTCAGGGGTCCCGGAACGGAGCTGGACTCTCTGGAGCCTCAGCTCTGGAGGACACGCCACACCCATGCGCGCATATACACCATGCACGTAGGCAGACCCACACACATAGGGACACACGTACACCACACACACAGTGTATACAGATAACACACAGACCCACACACAGAGACCACAGGTACAGACACAGACAACATACTGGGACACATATCAGATGCACACAAACACACACACCACGTGCATGCACACAGACCTCCCCACAGATAAACAGACATACACATTATACACAGACAGACGCAGAATACACCACACACAGAGACACACAGCACATACACATTCAATACACAAGGAAAGACACATGGCATCCCCAGAGACACACAAACCCACATAGACACACATAGAGAGGAACATGGACACAAAGAGACACACTCAGATAGAGACACCCCGCACAGATACAAGAGACACACAGACATATCCAGGTATGCACACATGTCAACCACATATAGGCAGACACACTCATATCACACACACACGTATACTGTCCACAGCCACAGAGAGTCACACACAGTCAGGCACACAAAAAGCTGGTGCTGGGGCCGTGCACAATCCCCAGGAACTAGGGCAGAGGTCCACTGGCCTTCCCCATCTGCAGCAACTCTCCCTCTGCCCCAGGAGTCAGGCCCCCAAACAAACTCTCTGGTGCCTCCACACAGGCCAGGGGAAGGTCTGAAAGCTGTCCGGGACAATTGGCAATGTAGGTTGGGAGGGCACAGAAAGGAGCACTGGACTTAGAGTCCAGATCCCCTGGGCTGATCTCTTCACTTGAAACTCAGGAGTGACACTACCTATGTCCGAAGGAGTGTGACACACATCCCTTGCTCACACTGACCTCAGCAGGCCTTTATATCCTTCCATCTTTCACAGAAATACTTTACACCATAGTAGCGCTGGAAAGAACTGTTGTCCTTCAGAAACGGCTATTTCAACATCACACCGTGCAGAGGCGCCCTGGCTTAGAGCCTGCAATCTAACAAGAAATAAAACAATAGCTTTTGAAAGCAGCTTAGAACATTTTCAAGCATTATTTCGTCAAGTACTTTTTAGCCCCACCATCTTTTTTCTTCTCCCTTTGGACTCTAATGATACGAATATTAGATCTTCCATTACAGTCCTATAGGTTCCTGAGGCTTTGTTCAATTTTTTTCCAGTCTATTTTCTCTCTGTTGTCCAGACTGGGTAATTCCTACTGTCCTATCTTCCAATTTACTGATTCTTTCCTCTGTCCCCATCATTCTGCCTTTGAACCCACCCACTGAGCTTTTAATTCAGTTGTTGTATTTTTCGGTTCTAAAATTTCCATTTGGGTCATCTTTAGCTTTTCTATTCCTCTGCTGAGACTTCCTATTTTTCCTTAGTTTCAGGCATGTTCCTAATTGCTCACTGAAGCATTTTTATCATGGCTGCTTTAAAATCTCTGTTCTTTCTGTTGGCATCTATTCATTTTTTTAAATTCAATTTTAGATCTCTCTGGTTCTTGGTAAGATGTGTGATTTTCTGTTGAAATCTGGACATTTTTGTGTTATGTTGTGAGACTCTGGGTCTTATTTAAACCTTCAGTTTTAGCTGGCCCCTTCTGCTCCAGGCCTGGCGTTGGGAGTCAGGATGGGAGGGCTGCCTCATTGCTCCCAGGTGAAAGTAGAAGCCTAGGTCTCCCATTCAACCTATGTGGGTGTGGGCCATATGATGTTTGACTGCTGTAGAAAGGTTAATATCTGAAAGTTTTCTGTCGTGTTCAGCTCTCCCTATCTTGGTCCTTTGGTTGGAAAGAGCGGGCTTTTGTGGGGTATTGTCTGTTCTGCCCCCATGGCATTTCTGGGTTGCTGGTTTCTTCAGCTCCAAGTCTGGAATATATATGAGGCAAAACAAAACCCAGGGAACTCACCACCACATCCTTTCTTGGGTCCCAAGATCTCAGACTGGTCTGCCTTTTCTCTCTAATTTTTCACAATCTCCTTATGCTTGTTTTATATATAATGCCCAGGACTTTTAGTTTTATTTAGCAAGAGTAATAAGGACAAGCACATTCCCTCCACCCTAGCAGATGCAGAAGTTTGGCTATTTATTTTGTTCGTCCCTGCCTGCCAGTGACCATAGTCACCTCAGTGACCTCCATCCCAGTTGCTCTAGACAGGACTACTCTGGGTACGGTGATCTGCAATAAAAGTGCTCATGGGCAGGATCTGTCCCCACCACCCAGGATGAAAAGGCAGGATGGCAATTCAAGTAAAAATGGCATCTTTCGGCCCTCCACAACTGTTCTTATGTGGCCTTCCAGAGTTGCTCTGAGGCTTGAGGAGAATAGATCATGCTGAGATACCAGTGAGGAGGAAAGGAGACAGTAAGATAACCAAGAGTTTCTATCATTAGCAATTTTAGCACGTGTGCGTTAACCTCTACACTTTCTGCAACTGCAGAAATTGTAGCTCTTGTCCACTCCAATTATAAATCACTCCTGGTGGAAAAGAGGGAGAGCTTGGATATGGAGATGGTATTTAAAGTGAACGACAAAGAAGTAAGATTTTGTACAATC